CCCCCACAGTCCATAGCTCCCCGCCCTGCTCCCATAGACCCCCACTGCCCCATAGCCCCCCACCCTACTTCCATCCCACTCCACTGCCCCATAGCTCCCCACCCTGCTCCCATAGACCTCCACTGCCCCATAGCTCCCCACCCTGCTCCCATAGACCCCCACTGCCCCATAGCCCCCCACCCTGCTTCCATCCCACTCCACTGCCCCATAGCTCCCAACCCTGCTCCCATAGACCCCCACTGCCCTATAGCCTCCTAACCCTGCTCCCATCCCACCACCCCATAACAGTCCACCCCCCATAACCCCACTCCACTCCCATCTCACCCCCTTGTCCCTGTAACCTTTAATCTGCTCCCATCGTGCCCCCACTGTCCCTGCCGCCCCCCCGTACCCCAGCCCTCCCCACACTCACGTCCTGCAGCAGCTTCTCCATGTTCTCCTGCAGCTCGTAGAAGTAGACGCTGGTGATGAGCCCGTCGCGGGCCTTGGCCAGGCAGTCCCGGGCCAGCTCGATGACCTGGTGGTGGATGAAGCTGAGCGCTCCGTCGGCCAGGGGCAGCACGCTCTCCGGCTCGAAGGCCCTGACGAAATCCTGCAGCTTCTCCTCCATCTGCGCCGTAGCCTGGGGATGGGGGGACTCCTGAGCTGGCACCGGGACCCGGGGGCGCATATCCCAGAGACCCGACTGCTCTGAACAGGAACCCCACTGCCCCCCAGAGCCTGCTCTAACCACTAGACTCCATGGCCCTCCCCAAGCCAGGGCAGCACCCAGGAGTCCTGGCGCTTAGCCTCTGCTCTAACCACTAGATCCCACTGTCCCCCCCCAACCCAGGAGTCAGGCAGCAGTTGTACAATGTACCACTAGAGGGCTCCCTTCCCAAAGCAATCCCCACAAACCCCCCACCCATGTATCCCATCTGCACCCTCATTTCCCCTGCCCCCCTTGCCCCCCTTCCCTCTGCCCTCCACACACCCCCCGTCCCCCTATCCCCAGCTGGTCACCACACCGCTCTTTCCCAGCCCCACTCAGCTGTCCCCTCTCCCCATGGGAAGTCCAGGGTCCTGCTTGGCCCACCCTGCCCGATCCCCCTCACCAGACACCCACAGCTGGGGTGCCGCAGGGGCCCTGTCGGCCTCTCCCTGCTCCTCGGGCCCCCACAGCTCTGGACTCCGCCAGCTACGTTCCTAGGCCCGTCCCCTGCTCTCTGGGCCTTGTCCCCTCAGCTTCCCCAGGGCCGGTCCCCTCCCCGGGCCGTACCTTGGGGAACCGTTCCTTGTACACATGGTTCATCATCACAATCTCGTTGTCGTAAGAGGAGGGGGAGCGGCCCGGGCTGCAGGGCGGGAGAAAAGAATCACATGGGGTTGACACTTCTCTCCCTGCAGTGCCTCCCGACGGCCAGAAACGCCCCCCCACCCCCGTGCTGAGATGCAGCCACCTCTGGGGTGCAGACTCGGTCGCTGTTACCACAGAAAGGCTTTGTACATAGGAGAGCGCCCCCTACTGACACCCCAGTTCCTGCCGCACCGTGCCCCGGCCCCGGCTGCCTCGGGAGAGCGCCCCCTGCTGAGCCCCACCCTACAGCAGGCAGGTTTCCGCTGCAAGTTTCCAAAACCCCCAGCTGGGAGCAGGCGCCGGGGGAGATGGAGACGCCCCCTCTGCCCCGGAAGTACCTGAGGCTCCGGGACCGGGGGCGCACAGCGGGCGAGTGGCGGCCCCCATCCTCGTCGGTGATGCTCTCGGTGCTGCCAAAGTGCTTGGAGAGGAAATGCAGCTCATCCATGGTAGGCTGGTAGGGCAGCTGGTGCAGCCGCTCCTGGGACGAGCAGGGAGCTGGCTAGGAGCCGCAGCCTGGCACTGAGGCACCCACTGCTGGGGGAAATGTGGGGGGGCTGGTTATTCAGGGACCCCTCACATGGCACTGAGATGCAGCCACCTCTAGGGTGGAGCATGTCCTGTAATTAACAGCCTCATAGGCAGACACAAGCTTAGTTTAGAGGAGAGAATCGGTCCTAGGAGAACTGCTCCACAGCGCCCCCTAGTGCTGCACATGACCCAGCCCCCTCCTGGCTCCCCGCCCCACAGGGCCCTGGAGTCAGCCCTGTGGGTGAGGCCTGGCTCTCCCTGCCCCTCTCGGGGGAGCACACTCACCGACACGGTGGAGCTGGGCGTGTTGGTTCCATAGCCGGATGAGGGGAGCGAAGCCAGAGACCAGCGGCGCCCGTCTGCCCTGCGGGGACCAGAGAGTGGACCGTGAAGGGACCCGCTCTGGGGGAATCCCAGAGAGCGGCTCCACCCAGCTGCCCCCACTGCCAGGCTTGGGGGAGAAGGGGGCTGAGCAGCTGCATGGGGGCTTTGGCATTGGGAGAGATGGAGGCATCAATGAACCATGGGGAGATGGAAGAGTCAGGAAGAGAACCCAGGAGTCTTGGCTCCCAGCCGTACCCCCTCCACTCTAACCACTAGACCTCACTCCCGTCCCAGAGCTGGGGCGAGAACCCAGGAGTCCTGGCTCCCAGTCCTACCCCCTCCACTCTAACCACTAGACCTCACTCCCGTCCCAGAGCTGGGGCGAGAACCCAGGAGTCCTGGCTCCCAGTCCTACCCCCTCCACTCTAACCACTAGACCTCACTCCCGTCCCAGAGCTGGGGAAAGAACCCAGGAGTCCTGGCTCCCAGTCCTACCCCCTCCACTCTAACCACTAGACCTCACTCCCGTCCCAGAGCTGGGGCGAGAACCCAGGAGTCCTGGCTCCCAGCGCCAGGGCACATGGGGGGGTATTGTGGGCAGGAACAGAGACCTCATGCTCCACGGGCCAGCTCAGGGATTGCATCAGCATCTTCGGACACCAGGACCCGGCAGCCTCCCTTCCCAAAGCAATCCCCCACGCTCCCTGCAGGACTTCCTTTTGAAATGCACAAGAGTCCTTTCAAAGCTGAGGCTCCTTAGGGAGTGAGGGGCCACCAGGTGAGTCCCTGCTGGCCCCGCATTACATCTCCTGAGCAGCCAGACAGGGTGAGCCCCGTGGGGCCCGGCTGCTCCAGCACATGGCGCCTTTCTCCTCAGGCTCTGGGGTGGGGGGGAGCAGTAATTAGAGCAGGGAGCAGATGGGGCAGAGGGAACAGCCTCTACATTCCCAAGTGCTGTGTGGGCCAAGGGATTGGCTGAGAGTCTGGACTCCTGGGTTTCTATGCCAAGCTCTGGAAGGGGAGCAGGGTCTAGTGGTTAGAGCAGTGGGGGGATGGGAGCCAGGACTCCTGGGATCCCTCCCCAACTCTAGAGTCAAGGCGTCAGTCTCTATAGCCAGTTCAGTCCTTGGTCACTGCTGGTGGGGTGTCAGTTAGCTGTGAAGGGAGAGGGTAGCTTGTGCTAAGAACACCTGAGAACTGAGCTGAGGCCCAGTAAATTCATTGCACGCCCCAGCCCCAGAGACTGACGTCAACAGGGCAGTGCAGCTCTTACCTGCGGGAGGAGGCGAAGGAGAAGTGGGCAGGTGTGTTGGGGGAGAAGTTCCGCGGGCTATCCAGGGGGCTGCTGCCTGCAGTGGACAACAGACAGACTGAGAGCATAGGATCCCCCAATGAATTGCATCCCACCGCTGCCACCAACACCACATGCTGCCCATGGAACCGGGCCTCCTCCAAGACCCCTCCCACAGAAGGCGAACTACATAGCTCTTCAAAAGTGACGAGAAGTCCTGTGGCACCCTATAGACTAATAGATTTATTGGAGCATAAGCTTTTGTGGTCAAAGACCCACTTCGTCAGATGCATAGCTCTTGGCTGCTGTTCCCACTTCCTCCCGAGAGCAGCCTATGGGGTGGGAGGTGCATGTTAAACAAAGGAGTCTGGATGTGCTGGCGGCTGGAGAGCATGGTGATGGGGGCATGAGAAACGGATGGATAGAGAATCTGTCGATGGACAAATAGCTGTATTAGCAGACAGACTGACAGAAGAACAGACAAATGAATAGACTGGACGGATGGGCAAAAGGCTAGATGGACGGGCGGATAGATGGATGGCAGAAGGTTGGCTAGATTGAAAAAGGGATGGGTGGACTCATGAATGGATGGACGGATAGACAGATGGACCCATAAATGGACGGACAGATAGATAGATAGTTAGGTGGATGGATGAGCCCATGAATGGATGGACACACGGATGGACAGATGAATGACTGGACTGGTGAGTGGATGGACGCATGGATGGACGGATGACTGGACAGACAGACGGATGACTGGACAGGGGAGGACATGGACGCAGGGATGGACAGACAGATGACTGGAGTTGGGAGTGGACAGACAGACGAACAGACAGATAACTGGAGTGGGGAGTAGATAGATGGACGGACAGACAGATAACTGGAGTGGGGAGTAGACAGATGGACGGATGACTGGAGTGGGGAGTGGATGGACGGATGGACAGACAGATAACTGAAGTGGGCAGACAGATGGACAGACAGATGACTGGAGTGGGGAGTGGACGGACGGATGGACAGACAGATGACTGGGGTGGGGAGTAGACGAACAGACCGATGACTGGAGTGGGGAGTGGACGGACAGACGGACAGACAGATAACTGGAGTGGGCAGACAGATGGACAGACAGATGACTGGAGTGGGGAGTGGACAGACGGACTGACAGACAGATGACTGGGGTGGGGAGTAGACGAACAGACCGATGACTGGAGTGGGGAGTGGACGGAAGGACGGACAGACAGATAACTGGAGTGGGCAGACAGATGGACAGACAGATGACTGGGGACAGACGGACTGACAGACAGATGACTGGGGTGGGGAGTAGACGAACAGACCGATGACTTGGCCCCCGGCAGGGCAAGCAGCCGCCCCAGTGGCCTCAGGCCATAGCTCCCTGCTGGGACACGGGCAGGTGGCGCCCCAGGCCGGGGGGACTCACCGATGTGGCCCGGGAGGGGCGAGTGGGGCCGCGGCAGCGTCGGGGACGTGCTGGTCAGGATCAGGCTCTTCCTGTTGCTGGTTCGACAGCTGCGGAGAAGGAAGGGAAGGCGGGTGGGGGCAGGACTCAGCTGGGGGGAAAGGAGGCTGAGCCCCACCCCGGAGCCAGCAGGGGATCAAGGGGGATTCACAGGGACAGCTCCAGGGCCGGAAACCCAGAGCTCCACTCCCCTGCCAGCAGACTGGAGTGGGGAGCGGACAGACGGACGGACGCATGCCGTGCTACATGACGCTGGACTCCAGGGACGGAGCTGGACGAAGAGCTGAGAGCTCTCGCCCCGGTGGGTGCCGGGGTAGCCGCAGGCACAGCTGGGG